AGAGTGTATCCATTAAAGTTAATGATCTCCATTGTCCTGTACCTAGTGGGTAAGTATCATCCAGCAGTGGTGGATGGTGGATTTCATGTCTGTTACAGCTGCACTCCAGTTTTCAGAACCGCCAGCCAGATTCCCAGCACTGAAGAATCTTTCGACCTTGCTAAAATCCTTTTGGACAGCGTGTGTTTCAAGGTCTGCCAAAATCTTTGCATTGGCATCCACATCCATGGTTTGATTTCTGGTTGCTTGAATTTATAAATACAAAGGTATTAAAACTAAAACTTCAGTGAATGTTTTACTGCAACGTCCTGCTGTAGGAGTATTTTTAATATTGGTTAGTTCCCCCTGATTATTAAGGTAAACTTCCAAGTATCCTTAGTGCCTAATGGGAAGGAGCAAACATCTTAAGAGTAGAATACTTCAGTACAATAACTAGATTTATTGTACCATAGCTATGAAGTTAGTTATTATGGGATACAAGGCTTTAAGAGTACACATGATGCATGGCATTTTGGCATGTCTTGGACAACAAGGTGCTTTTAGCCTTGATTTAAAATAAAAGCAAAAATAATCCTTGAAAAAGAAAAAACATGAAGAAAAGTGACACCACAGCTGTGTCAGTTCAAGAAGGAGATGCTCTGGGGTCTGGTGAGCCTGGTATTATCACTGAGATGATGTTCAAGGAGATTGTTTTAGCATATGGTAGGAATGTCCTTTAAAATAGCATTTTGGTTCCTCGTTTTAACAAAATAGGGTGCAAAAAGAGGTCCAGGCAAGAGTTCCTGTTAATAGCTCTCTGTTCAAAAGTTGCTGTGCTGCCTGTTGTTTGCCATATTAAGAGATTTGGGGAATTTCTTTGCGACCGAAGGATAGATTTATCAGTGCTGCTGAATGTCTTCAACTCCTTTTAAAAGATGTCGTGCCTCCAGTGAGAAAATAGGAGTGAGCTGCTGGGCCTTTATTACATGTATGGAAAATAAAAGTACAAAATCAATTTGAAATGTGGAAATTGATATATTTTTTTTAGGCATCTTGGTATTTTACTTTCCAAAAATTTGTTGGTGAATAAATATTTAATGCTGCAGCCTTGAAGCAAAATGAAAAGCTGCCATTGTTAGTCTGCTTTCAAATGCTAATGACCCTGAGATGCTGTGGATACTGCCCATTGAATTAGCCCTCTGTGGCTTTCCTGCTCCAAGGCTGTTTCGCTAGCAGTGGTCTGTTCAGTGTTGGTAAAAGCATCTGTTCACTGGGTGAATAGTGCAAGAAACCTCCTTCCTCCTTCCCACCACAGAAATGCCCAGGCTTTGCGGGGAAAGCCGAGTCTTTCCCCGTTCCTTCCAGGTATATTCTTGGCAGGGGCTTGCTGTGGGGCTGGATGTGTGAGAGCCATCGTGCTGGAAGGAGGGGGAATTGGCAGCTGGGACTGGGAGGGAGAGCGAGACGGCCTTTTCTGCGGGCAGTTAGTGTTGGCTCATCTGAAGCTGAGTTCTCAAAGGTGGCTCATCCAGTTTGGGGGTTTGCTGTTGACAAAAGGGATAGATTTTAGTCCTTCCTGCTTCAGGCTGCCATCTGACCTGCTGTCCCTCTCTTTGGTGCTGTCACTCATTGGCATGTTCTGTGAGATCATTTAATTCCTTAGAAGGAGAGAGAACTACCTGTCTTTCTTGGCTGGAGTAATAATTTGCTGTTTCAATGAGCTAAGTTTGGCTTACAAAAAGGTGAACAGCAGAGCTGGCACAAAGAAAGATGTTACCAATTTCTGGAAGCCTTTCTGAGACTTTGCGTTCTTACCAGGTTTGATTGATGTAGGCCAGCAGGTTCAAAATTAAGTATCCTTTTTAGCTTCCCGAAAGGAGTCAAACTAGTTTTTCCAAGGTTCAATTTACCATCTATGTGCTTCAAATGTTAAGACTGGTTTCCATATAATATATCAAATTTGATCAGTCTTTTACTCAAGCTGGTATGAATTATACTTTTTATTATGCTACAGTTAAGCTGACTAATGCAGGACATTCTGGGCCACAAATGGTTTAAAATATGCTGTTTAATCCAGGGGATTACTTTTCTTTGTAGCCTTCTGAGAGAAACCTCTTCAGGAAATTCTGCTTGGTTAGGATGTATAGCAGATGGCTTGTTACTGCTGGAGACAACACTTTTAAATACTGAGCTTTCAGTGTTGTAAATTAGGGCCAGCTGTAAAACAGGAGGGTAGGTAATATTCTGATCCAGTTTTAAACTTGAATAACTTCCCCTTGATTGTCTTTCTTATTTTGCCCCCTATTTGAAAGGCCCAAGGATTACATATTTAGGAATAAGACTTGGCCTGTTCAGTTCTTCTGAGCAGCAGAACTTCCCAAGTGAGTTGCCATTAATCTCTTCTCTGCCATTCGTTGGCTATGCTGTCCTGTCTGTTCCATAACAGTTTTGGAAAACAAACATGAGCACCGTTAGACCCACCTCTGAGCTCCAGATAAATCGAACTTTTGGGCCTGAAGTGTTTGAAGATCATAGCAGTACAAAATTTTATTTCTGCGTTTCTCTGACAGCAGCCTACATGCTGATAGACATAACCTGAATGAAACTGAATTCACTTAAAAATAGTAGTCCTAATTTAACAGTAGTGAGTTTATTGCGCAGAACCTAGTGCAGCATCTGTGCCCTGAGGGCATTTTGGATCATTCTGCCTAAATAGAGAGGGGCTTTTAAACAAGGTAAAGGCAAAAATGTGCATAATGCTCTCAGACTTCCGCTTTGGGGCAGTACCTTCTTTGGAAAAGTTAAACCAGCAAGTTAAATGTCAACCAGAATGTGTTTCCTTTCTTTAATCCTGATTTTGGATTAATCCCACGGGTCCCTGAGAAGCACCGCTCAGGAGGGCAGCGAGGTGGCGGGCAGAGACACGAGCTCCTCCCGGCTGGCGGCCGCGCGCGGAGCTTCGGGAAGCGGCGAGGATGTGCGGGAGCCAGGGCGCCGGCGGGAAGCAGCGCGGCCAGGTGGAGCGGCCCGCGCGATTAGCGGGATTAGCGGCGACACGGCAGGATCACGGGGCTCTGACCTCGGCACCGGTGCCGCCGGGGGCCGGGAGCTGCCCGGCGGCTGCATGAGGAGCTTTGCCTCTGTTCCAATGCGCTTTTGGATGTGCCGTGCAGCGCGCTCGCTTTCCTGAAGTATTTTTCCTTTCAGTGAGTCGGATAATGTCCAAGTAAGTGCATCAGTTGCATTGTGTCTCTGAGCTGTCAATTTTTCCTCCCATGCAGAAGCATTTCAGTAGCTTAATGTTGTCCTTGAAAGGAAACTCTTTCCTCACTCACATTTTCACCTCATTGACTTGGGGTGTATTTTTCTTATGTCCTGAATTCCCAACCAAAGCAGTAGGGTTTACATCTATTCCTTTCATTATTATTAATTTATAGCTTCTTCATTATGTAGCATTTAATTACCAGAGCTTCTGATGACTTCTTGAGGGAAATTAGGTGTGAATCAACTAGTTTAGCAGGTATATTCCACTTAAAGAAACTGGATGTGTTTCCCATTGTTAAATGAATTTAAAGGTGGGAGGCCAAATGCCAAAAATATGAGCCATAGAGGTGAATAAGAAAAATCCACTGTCTGTAATGGCTGTATCCTGGTCACACCTTGAAAAGCATGGTGGTACCATCTAGGAACATCACATCAGCAGTATTAGATTGTGTCAGTGGTGATGTTGGACGCTTAGCAAAACGTCAGAATTACTAATCTTCCTGCATAGGGATGAAATAATTGATTCATCCATGTGTTTTTCATTCAGCCCTGCTCCCTCTCCCGTGCAAGGGTTAGCAGCTCCTCCTAACAGCTCACCCTGCATTAACACTCTCCTGGCTTGGGGGATATTGGTGCTGTCGGTGCTGAGTGAAGCGATGGCCTGAGGTTGGCGGAGGTGCCGGGGGAACACGATGCTGAGGATGCTGAGGGATTTTCTGTGTCGTGGCAGCAAGTGGGAGCATTTGCTCCGTGCAGTGGAAATGTGTGCAGTTCCTCCTGTGCACTTAGAAACATGCAGTGAAAGGAGCAGCCTCTTAGACATTTATCTTAGCTAGCCATTTAGAAGCTAAAGTTATTATGCTAATTGTGGAAGATAAAGGGTTAAATTAGAAAAGTCTGGCACTTTAAATATCTTTTTCAGCGGCTGCATAATCTGATGTGGGCTAAATGTAATGACATAATCCAAAAATAGCCAGTAGGCTCCTCTTGGATGCTCATCCTTGCTGCAGTTGTGCAGCTCGAGTGGCAAGTGCTAATCTGCTAAGGATGTTAGAGGACATGGCATGTCTGTCAGCAGCACGTCCCAGGGACACCTCCAGGCTTTCGCGTTTCAATTTAGACTGGGAGGTTAATTCACATTCAAGTAATATCATTTAACTAGAATGCGTGTTAAATGGTGATCCTCTACTGTAAGTGATGAGAGGGGAGATTCACTTCTCTGAGTGGGCAGCTGTTTCCTTTTTTCCTGGTGGGATGCACAGGCCTCGTCCCACTGAATTTTGCTTAAAGGATTTTGCTTGACCCAGTGACACTGATAGGATGAGAGGCTGGGGCAGGGGAGGTTTCTTTAACATAACAAAGTGATGCGACTTAGCTTACCTTTGGCTTTCAGTTGCTAGTGGATAATTGCTCCGAGATATATAGGTCTTCTCCATGCAAAGGAAAAGGGAAAATTAAGCCTCTTAATTTCTATTCTTCTTGTCCCACAGATAACTGTCCCACCTAAAATAAACTTCTTTTTTTCCCCAGAATTTTCTTCTTTTTTGATCTCATTGCTGTCATTGTGTACTGATGTACATACACAGAGAGATCAGGATTGTTTGGTGGGTTTTTGTTTGTTTTTAACCAATCTCAGTAATATTTTGGTTTTAGATAGCCAGAGTAGCTTTTAAGGGGCAGGAACTGGCAGTGATGCTTTTGCAATAAACACTTGGTTGGCTCTGTGAACTTCTTCAGTGTAAGTATTTGGGGTGTTTTGCTATTTGACTATCCATAGGGAGTTTTGCCTTGTGATCCGAGTGAACCAGATCTGTTTGAAAAAGTGGTATTTTGCATTACATGGTGAGCTTCATACGGAAGCGTTTGGAATTCCTGGCTCTTCCAAGTTTAAGTGACTGGTATCATAAGGGTGCACTCTGCCCAAAGTTTATTTATATGAGCTGTGCTGTCTTAAAGCCTAGTCTATTCTGCTCCGTTTATCAGAGCATTTGTGACATGTTTACTAATACTTGGTTTTAAGTTATTTTTAAAGTCAGAAGGAACCAGAGAGAGGTAATGATGTAGAGCTTGTGGCTTCTTAGGTCTTCATATGCAGCCCCTCTAGATAGCACTAATCCTGTGCTTGTTTCTTCCTATAAACAGTCTTTTTTTGGGATACGTAGCTACTGTGGATGGAGTCCATGAGGGCTGTCCCGGTGCAGGTTAGGCCTTTGGGGCATAAAGTTATTCCCGTCAGGATAGTGAAGTGTTCTGGCAAGGCTGGAAAGGCGTGTGATGCACAGCTCGGACGGGAGGGAACACCTGGCTCTTCGGGTTGCCACTAAAGTGTTTTTACATAGCGCTTAAAACGAACGAGGTTGAGCAACTTAGTCCTAGGTAGCTTATGAAACCCCAGTGCTGGATTTAGATCTTTCCACTTAGCTCTGTGCAGGTTCAAACAGCCTCAGTGGAACAGCAGCCTCTCTGCTGTGGAGTTGTTCTGCTAGGTATTATCAATATTAATTTATCTAAATAAGACTAAGAAAGAAGATGAAGGAGCTTCAGTAACTACAGGCCTCTGTAGTACACATCTGTAGCTAAACCACAGCTGTTCATTTTGTTTTTTTTGAAAGGAGTGGAATTGAGCTTTATTTACACTGGTGAGTCTATTGTGCCTGGAGCCGTGCTGAAAATAATAGTTATTTTCACTGATAATTCTTGAAAGGAGTGGAATTGAGCTTTATTTGATGAGTCTATTGTGCCTGGAGCTGTGCTGAAAAGAATAGTTATTTTCACTGATAATTTGCTGATTCTGTAACATTGTAAGTTACACAGTATTCAAGCTTTTTTTTTTTTTTTTTCTCAAATCCCATTTAAACCTAATAAAAATACATTTTTATGTGAAAACTGGTTTCCAAGCTGATCTGGTTAACAAGGTGTGTGTTCCATTCTGCTTAAGCAATTCTTAATCTTTTTCTTCACTTGTTTGTTTGGGGACAGCTCCCTGTTCAGGTTATTAGTGCAAGATGGCAGACCAGAGGCAACGTTCGCTGTCGACCTCTGGAGAATCGTTATACCATGTGCTAGGACTGGACAAGAATGCCACTTCTGATGATATTAAAAAGTCATACAGGTAAAGTTGTGAGGCTCAATGCCGATTGCCAAGTAGCACAAAGATCTTTAATGACGTGTTTGACAAATGAGGTATTTCTGTGCAGACTGGACTTTAATTTTGCAAGGTAATATGTCATGGAAAGAAAATGAAAATATCTGGTTGCTTCTGACTGGAAAAAGAAGTGTAAAAATGTGCCTAAGTTTCATACAGAAATGTTAAAGCATTTTCATTTTATCTATAGTAAGTTTAATTCTTAAGTACACAGTCTCATTCTGGAGGTTTTTTTATTTCAAGTTGAACAAAGTTTTAAGGCAGTGAGATCAACATTAAATTCTTTCTTTACGTTACATAGCATTGTGTCTGGCTTACAGAGGTCACAGCTGTTTGATACTGCTCTGTTGTCCATCCATTTTAATTCTGGCACAGTGAGGTGTGGAGTAAAGATACAAATAAAGATGAAAACTGAGTATCAACAATGATTTTTATTATTATTACTGAATGTGTTCATAAGGTCTTAGTGGGGGAATTTATTTTTGAAAGAGGAGCTTTTGCTTTATTTGTTTTCTTAAAGGATCAGATGCATAAAATAGCTTCCCATTTTTCAGTTAAAAACAGGAGTGCTGCCCCTGTGCCGCATTCCCCGAGATCTGTGGATATGCAATTCCCTCTACCTTAAGTGTGAGCTCCAGTTTTATGACTGTTTGACTACTGGCAATTGGCTTAACATGACACTAGGGGTCAGTAGTAGTCTGTACTTGAGCATACTCTCTTCAGATTTTTTTTTTTTCCTTTTAGTCTTTAACATTTACCGTGACTTTTTCCCCTTTATTAGTACTCATGGTAGTTGCATAGTGAAAATTGTGGGTAAAAGGATGCACAGACTCTCCATATTTATCTATGTCTTCCTAAAAACATTTTCTTCATTGGGAAAAACTGTCCAAGATTTTGTTTGGAATAAGGCCACTCCAAAATCCTGGGGCCAAATGTAGTGCTTCCTACTTTCCTGAAACTAACTCTAATATTTCTGTCTTTACTGTTTCTCTACAATAGGAGAATTGACCAATTTCCACCCCTTGCCCCCACCCACTGGATGTCACACATCCTTTGCTGGCTTGTGGGCTGTGGAGTTTGTTACATGTAGGAAAGAGCAAATGAAAAATATTTATCTATTGTAGCCTGATAGTAGGCCAGCCATTCCAGAGAAGTTTACATAACTTATATGTAATTATACAAACTATGATTATTTCAGTCCTCGCTGGCACTAAGGCATTAGAGGCAGCCCCGGAACTTATTTTTCCAGGCAACATTTTACAGCTCTAAAGCGTTTCAAGTGTGCACAGAGTTTATTGTTTGAATGCTGTGATACATTTGTGTGTATGGAGAAATGTGTGCCTGCACAAATCCTTATTTTATGCTGGAAGTATCTGAATATTTTTTACCTCAGAGTTGTCCCATGTCAACAGCTGTGCAGGCTCTCAGAGTATTTCTCTTAAGTGGGGTTCTCGCAATAACTTTCTGTGGGACAAGTACCTTTTTGTGTGCTTGTCCACAGAAGAAAAATGGAAATTATTTGTAGTTTGTATAGATGGAAAGCTATTTGTGCAGAATTCTGTAGCATTTTCCTACATAAGAACACAAATGGCTCAGACTTCAAAACGGTGGTTTTTCTGTGTTCATTTAGAAGGTGTTTGGTCAGTTATTTCTGCTCACTTCCTTTATTACCTGGACAATGCCTGAACTCACAAATTTATCAACACTTAATCTGAACTGTCAGGCTCTGTTCAGAGACCTCAAGGGGATTGTAAACGGCTGTCATTTAGTTGCAAGAGATGTAAAATGATTAGGGAGGTACATTGTGATTTCCTGGTATCTCGAAACTCTGAAAGCTTGTTCTATTTTAGCAAGCCTTGAACTGAAAAATAACTCTGTTCCTGCACAGGCATTGGTGAATTAACCACAGGTTATTGTCTATTCTATTTTTATGTTCAGATGCTGCAGATTAGCTGTGGCAACTAGCTTGTATTTACCCTTTGATGATGTGTGTGTGTGGTTTTTTTTTTTTTTTTGGTTAGATTGGCTCTCACTTTACTGGAAGTAAAACTTACATTTAAGTAAAACCTTAAGTAAAATAATGGAATGAATTAAAAACAAAACAACTACCAAACGACATGGGAACCCAAATTCCAGTTTTAACTCATAACAGTCCCTTTTTTTTTCTTCTTCAGGAAGCTTGCATTGAAATACCATCCTGATAAGAATCCTGATAATCCAGAGGCCGCAGAAAAGTTTAAAGAGATCAATAACGCACATGCAATATTGACTGATGCCACGAAGAGAAACATTTATGATAAGTATGGATCTCTGGGTCTGTATGTAGCAGAGCAGTTTGGAGAAGAAAATGTGAACACGTACTTCGTCCTGTCCAGCTGGTGGGCAAAGGTAAATAAAAGAAGGTGTTCTGGGTTGGTTTGTAAAACTTTTAGAAGAGCTCCATTTGAAAATTAGAATGTTTGTGTTTATTCTTGGAAGTGCCCAATCTCTGACACCTTGTA